CATTCTGCCAGTTTTCACCTCATTTATTTGGACCTTCTCATTAAATGTATGCATGTTTACAATTGTTACATCTTCTGTATATTATATTGATATTATTGTCAAAAAGTAGTTAAAACCAGTTTAGTTTACAAATCTTCATTGGCTTTTAGAATGTATGCTCTGATCTGATAGACTGAGCACAGGAGGTTGATTTTTTTTTTAAGATTTTATTTAGTCATTTGAGAGGCAGAGTTACAGAGAGAGAGAGAGACAGAAAAAGGTTTTCTGTCTGCTGGTTCACTGCTGAAATGGCTGCAATGGCCGGAGCTGAGCCAATCTGAAGCCATGAGCTAGTTTGCTTGCTTGTTTGCTTGCTTGCTTGCTTTCCTTTTTTTTTTTTTTTTTTTTGGACAGGCAGTTAGACAGTGAGAGAGAGAGAGAGACAGAGAGAAAGGTCTTCCTTCCGTTGGTTCACCCCCCAAATGGCCGCTATGGCCGGCGCGCTGCACTGATCCGAACCCAGGAGCCAGGTGCTTCCTCCTGATCTCCTATGCGGGTGCAGGGCCCAAGCGCTTGGGCCATCCTCCACTGCCTTCCCGGGCCGCAGCAGAGAGCTGGACTGGAAGAGGAGCAACCGGGACAGAACCGGCGCCCCAACTGGGACTAGAACCCCAAGTGCCGGCGCCACAGGTGGAGGATTATTAGCCTAGTGAGCTGCAGTGCTGGAGCCAGGAGTTTCTTTCGGATCTCTCATGTGAGTGGAGGGCCCAAGCACTTGGGGCATCTTCCACTGCTTTCCCAGGCCATAAGCAGAGAGATGGGATCAAAGAAGCAGATGGGACACAAACTGGTGCTCCTTTGGTTTTATAAACTGGAAAGAGCTAAGGAAAGCAGAAACAACAAAAGGCAAATTTTTGTTTCAAACTTACTTTTCTTGTAAAAGTCAAGGCAACGAGGCCTTCCTTATAAATAAAACCAGATTTGGGGGGATTAGCTTTAGGGGAATATAAATGTGATTTTTCCCTCTGAAGGCCTGATAATTTTAGGTTATAAATCAATGGACCAGGGGCCAGCATTGTGGTGTAGTGGGTAAATGTCAGCATCCCTGGCTTTGTCTTGACCTAGCCCCAGCTGTTGCGATTCTGGGGAGTGAACCAGAGGATGGAAGGTATCTCTCTCTGCAACTCTGACTTTCAGGTAAATAAATAAATATTTTTTTAAAAAACTGACCTTAGATTAATAAGAAAAATAACAAATTTTATTAGTGTGCCTAAACACAGGAGGCATACACATACAGAATGAAATGCAAAGCAGAGCCAGACATTTGAAGCTTGCACAGAGTCCATACAAAGGGGTGGGGTTTGTCTTCTTGGTGCAGGCTGTGGAAGCAGAAGTCCAGGTGTGTGAGAGGGGCTGAAGGACAAGATTGGGAATTTCATGCAGTTGAATGAGGGAAGAAGCACAGACACACCCCTTGGAAGTCGACCAGCATTTGTACACCTAAAGTCTTGCCCTTGCCACATCACCTTATTAGCTGGATCCCAGCCCTCCCCGGGGACAGCTTAGGGGACTCTTCCCAGCCCTGTGTATGTGTGTGCGGGAGGGGGGCTGCTTTTTGGGCCAACACCACCGTGTCTGATAAAGTCCTGGGGGAATTCCATTCATTCTGTGCCTCTGCCAGCAGCATCCCGCAGAGGGAGGGAGGGAGGAGGAGAAACAGATGGTCCACAGCTAGGAAACCCCAGGCTGAGTGCAGGCTGGGCTCTAGGTTATTTGCTAAGATGCCTGCCTGGCCCATCAGGTGTGTTCTCCTTGAACTTTGCTACCTTGCTGACTGCTACTCTGGCTCATATCTGAAATTCTTGTGTGAAGACAAGGACCACTGATGCATCTCTGGCGACAGAAGGCTGGGGACAAGAGAGGCACAGGAGCAGGACCTGGCTTGTATTGCAGGGGAAGTTGTTCCCACCCTCCCTCCCCATCCCCCAGCAGCCAAGTAGTCAGGGATCTCTTCCTGGGAAAAGATCTTTCCTAGGCAGAAATGGAGATAACAGCAAGCTGTTGACGTTTGCTCACTTTCTACTTCTCTGAGTTAGACGGCCTTTATAAATGTAATTTTCTTTACTAGGGGCAGGCTTTCAGAGCCATTCCTGTGTCAGCAATTTCTCAGAATAACCAAATAACAGCACTTAAAATCCTGCAAAATAGAATTGAATGATAGATTTAGAGGTGGTATTTGTCTTATCAGTTAAGATGCCTGCATCCTGTATCACAGTCCTAGCTCTGCTCCCCATTCCAGCCTCTGATAATGTGCACATCATGGGAAGCAACCACTGGAGGCTGGTGTTGCAGGTCGCAGGCAGTGAAAGAATTCAGCAGAACAGATAGAGTAAGCAGGGCTAGATTTATTGAACACACTCACTGCAGGGAAGCAACAGCCAAGCAGAACAGGTAGGGGCTGACTATGACTACTGCTGCAACACAGACTGTAATCTGAGGGTACTCTGTTGCAGGGGTCCCTTCTTAGAGTGGCTACTGCCATAAGCTTGCACGGGAGCAGTGAGCAGGACAACCAAAGGCTGTCCATTGTGATACTGATTACAATCCAAGAAGCGTACTTGTAGCTGGAGTATTATCCTCAGTTTGAGTTTCCTGTGGTCCAAGAGGTATTTCTAAGTAGGTGGGTAGATTGTCATTCCAGCTGAGCTGTGGAGAGTCCTCTTTGATGGCAGAGGCCCCATGTGTACGGAGAATAGCACAGATGGAGCTAAAGATGCAGGCCACAGGAGAACACCGTGGGATAGCTTTGCTTCCTGTTGGACTTGCACAGTGAATAGCCACAGGAGGGTCAGTTTTGTAAAAATAATAATTTTTCCATATTTAAAGCATTCTTGAAGCACTGGTCATTATCTCTAGCTTTTTTTTTTTTTTTTTTTAATGTTTATTTTTATTTACTTGAAAAACAGCAACGTTCACTTCCCAAATGCCTACAATAGCCGTGGCTGGGCCAGGAACTCCATTTGGTTCTGCACGTAGGTGATAGGGGTCTGAGTACTGGGGCCATCCTCTGCTGCTTCCCAGGGAGTGCATTAGTAGGAACCTGGGTCAGAAGCAGAGGCAGGACTGGACCCTAGGTTCTCTGATAAAGGATGTGAGCCTCCCAAGCAGAGGCTTCACCCCTGTACCCCAGGGCTCACCATTCCCTTTGGCTGTTAATTGGTCTGATTCTTCAGATTCTTCACGGCACTGATTTTTGCTTCTGATTGTATCAATTGTGTCGCTTTTAAAGGCTTCCTGGAGCCTATTTATCTTGCAAGATTCTCAGTTTCACTTAGCAACTCACCATTTGCATTGTGTTGTTGGATTAACTGTGAGAGACTATTAGAACCTGGTGTTAATTACTAATTAGGCAAGGAGTAGTGGAGGGAAATAATCCTACTGGTGGGTAGTTCATTAATGGGTGCTTTTCTACAGTGACAGTTTCTGTTTCCCCAGTCAACTTTGTATCCTGGATAATGAGTCTTCATGGAAAATGGACTCTAATTCAAACCTTACTGTTTCAATATACAATTTAAAAGATAAGATCATCTGTTCTCAATGTAGAAGTAGTAAGGGTAGCTGATGTTGTATGGCTGTGGAGCAGGGGTACTGCCTGCTGCTGAGGACAAACTGACCATTTAGTAATGGCTGCTGTAGTTCTGCTTCCCGCCAGGGAGACCTTTATCTTGAGAGGCCTAGTAATTTGCTCAAAATAATATTGTTAACTCATAAAATTACATTATATTGCCTTTCTGGAAAAAAAGTTTTAGGTGTCTGGAAAAGACTGATATACTGTAATCCCACAGTGATGCCAAATTAGACCCCACTGTATACCTTTTATACTCCCCCACCTTTGATTCAGAGGGAAAAGCGGCCAACTCTTGTGACCAATTGGAGACACGATTTATACCTTTCCACAACTTAGTCCAAAGGTATTACACAGCAAAGGGTACCAATTGTAGGACCCCAAAAGCGGTGTCCTCTTGTGACGACCCCAGAAACACAGACTCCGGACCAGACGATGCAATAGAACAGGAGGTAATTTATTTCATTTGTACAAATGGGCCCCCTACTGCTGCAAGCAGCAAGCAAGTGAGAGGAGCCCCGAGCAGCTATCTCACACAGCTTTTAAAGGGCAAAACCACAAAATTAACATATTATAGGCTGGCATAAGTTCATTGGATAATTTTCAGTAGCGGGCCTTGTATGGCAGTCTAAAGTGGTAATGTCGGTGGAAAAGTACTAGGTCAAAGGGATACATTAGGGGAGGGGGTTTCTAGGAGTGAGGAATAGGTTGCTATGTGCCTTGTAGCTTTCTTTGTTAACCTTGAGCAAGCGTAGGGAAGGGGCTTATCTACAAGGCAGGTGTTCTGTGTATCTCTGGTTAGTAGCTGACTGCTTTCTCTGTGAACCGGTTTACTCCCCATTTCCCAAGGCCGTCTCTGGAACGGTTTGTCTCAAGAGCCCCATTTTTTTTATGGTGGCTCTTGGCTCCTTTCACCAATGTCCAGTCATCTTCAGACCCTGACATTTGTAGTAATAGCCAGCACCTGTGTGGTGTTTCGTGGGTTGCAAAAGCACCTTTAGGTCAGCAGGTTCATTCTTGTAACTGAAGTCATCCTCATTTTCCTGGTGGGCTTGGAGTCTGGAAATGAATTCCGTGGGATTATGTTTCCAAAACAGGAGAATCCAGGTTTTTTCTCTCCAGGTTTATTCTCTTTGTAGAATAATAGAAACATCCCTTTTGTAGTTACAGGATAGCCTCAAAACAGCGCCCTCTGTGATTCCCGGTCTGGTTACTTTATCATGTTTAAATGATGTGCTTCAATTAAATCTTACTGTTACGGTTTTGAAGCTATGTACTGTGATTAATTTCTGTGGATTGGGTAAGTAAGAAATTAAGAGTCTTTTTCTTCCTGATAGTTAATGGTCAGTTGGTTTAAAATGGAAACCTATGTATAATCTGGTATTTTTTAATCTAGGCTCTAGACGCTGAAGTCTGTCACCATCCTTCAAAATGCAATGGAACATACCAAGGACTATATCTCGACTGGCACACAGGACGTGCCTGGAACCACAGAAAGCTGGTCTCTTGGGACACTGTCAAGCCATAAAGGGACCATTAATCTTGTCTAATGCTGAATCCAAAGTGGTTTTGGCACAAGGCCCTCAAAAACAGTGGCTGCACTTACCTGCTACCCAGTGTGTTGCAAAACAGAGGAAGCCTTTGGCTGCTCATCGCCCCCAACCCGGGACCCTGCACCATAAACCATGGGAGCAAGCCACTCTATTCCAGAGGGCTTTATCATCCAAGGCCACAGCCCAAGGAGCTCCTTCGGAAAAAAAGGAAGAGCCTGATCCTTTACAAGACAAATCCATTAGTCTTTATCAGCGATTTAAGAGAACATTTAGACAATATGGGAAAGTCTTGATTCCAGTGCATCTAATAACTTCTGGTGTGTGGTTTGGAACATTTTATTATGCAGCCATCAAGTAAGTTTTCGCTTGGTTGGACCTCTTTCCTTGTTTTCTCAGAATGTTAACCTTGTTAATTGTACTAATGGTAGCCTTAAATAGTTTTTAAAATGCTTGAATGTCTGATTGGCAGAAAGTGACTACTCTTCATAGCTGTTGTTCACATTTTGGGAATATCCACTAACGTTTGCTTACTGTGTGCAGGAGGCATTTTGCTAAATTTTTAACCTGTATCAACTCATTTCATCCTCAGGGCTACCATATGAAGTCAGTAGTAACAGTTCTTCTCACTTTATCATTGAGAAAACAGATTAGGCAAGGAGAAGTAAAATAACTCAGCTGGTAAGAGGTGGAGTCTGGACCAAAGCCCAGTTAGGTTTGTTTGATCTCACGGCCCTTGCTTTTCATTGCTGTGCTGCTCTCAGCCAGCATTCAGGAGAGCCTGGAGATAAAATAGCAGGTTTCAGAAACTTGGCAGCACCATGGGTCCTCTGCTTATGTGTTTCCTAGGGTGTTTATAAATGTAACAAAAGGCAACTGTTTTGCTGGCTGTATGCTTTTGGTGGGAAATTCTTAAAATATTTGGCGAGAGTCAGGCCACTGTCAGTTGTAGACACATACCGATTGCAGGTGTATGCTGTGATGTCACTTACCTCCAGCTGATGTTATGACCTTTTGTTCTAAACTGTGTGTGGAAGAGCCTGGACTCTGTTGTAGGGCAGAATTTCTAAATGCATCCTTGTTAAATACTGTTCCTTTGAAGCTGAGTTGCAGTGTCACTGCTGTAGCAGCAGGAGGACCAGTGCTTCTGCCATGAGGAAGGCCACATGCCTGCTCTACACAGCTTGGCCTGGTGCAGCAGAGCTTGGGCGGCAGTCTTAGGCTGCAAGCATTGGGTCAGTGGCTGATTTTCTTTAAGAATTGTGCCTTTCTTTCCAGCAGATCCTGTATCTGTGCTTTGTGGAATTCTTTGTTTATTAATGACATCTTCCGGACATGTTAAGTATTTATAGAAGTCTTCAAAATTGTCCTTAATTTTTGACAGAACAAAAACATTTTTGAATAAAAATTATTAGAAATTTAGTCCTGCTATTTAATGAATGGCTTTCTACATATTAGACTTTCCTTTCTGAGCCATTGAGGATTCCTGTAATTCAGTATTGTGGAAGTGATTTGAGTAATCCCTGTTTCTTTTGCTCTTCTTATGTTGCCTTTAATATGCCTTCAGCATCCTGGCCTTAGAAGGAGAAATCTGTTTTTAATTAATTTGAATATGAGTCTCTCATTTGGGCTACCTTTAAAAAAGAAAAAAAAAAAAAAAGAAAGAAAACGTGACAGAGAGAGAGAGAGAGAATCTTCCATCTGCTGGTTCACACCCTAGATGGCCACAACAGACAGTTCTGGGCCAGGCCAAAGCCAGGAGCCCAGAACCCCACCCACATTTGCCATCTGGGGAGCAGGGGCCCAAATACTTGGGCCGTCATTCACTGCTTTTCCAGGAGTACCAGCAAGGAGCTGGAAAGGAATTGGAGTAGCCTGGATTTGAACTGATAACTGTTTGCCAGCATCACGTACAACAACTTAATCCACTGTACCACAATGCTGGCCCCTTAATTTGACTATTAAAAAGAATGTTTTTGTTCCTTTTACTTTCCCTTGCCTTCTTTGGTGAAGGAGTTCTGTAACTAAAAAAGGAGATGCAGAGTGACCCAGTGATAGAGGTGACAGTGTGCTCTTGGCACCTGAGCTGGATGGTGGCTGCCCTCTGCTGTGACGTGCAGCTTTCTTAGTTTTACCCTCCCCCGCTTTTTTTCCTGTAGAATGCTTGTGGCTGAATCCAGTGGAAGACTGCACTTTAAACTCATGTCCCTTACCTTGCACGACTTGACTTGGGGCTGAGAACTGGTCATGAGCCCCCTCCCCCGCTCCCCGGCTGCCCAGGCAGGACTGCCTGGCTGGCTGGGTTACAGTATCGTGCCACTGATTTGTGTAGCACAGAACCTGCTGCTTCCTAAGCAGCACTCCTTTTGTCTTCAGTAGATCTGTAATATTTCAGTTTGAGGAACTGATGTGTTCTAAGTGAAGACCTTTATCACCAGTAATACTTAGGAAATAGAACTCATGGATGAAAGAAAAAGGAAGGTAGGCTATGTTCAAATGGCAGTGTCTGTGAGACGATTTTATTGTAAAATTGAAGTTCTTTATATTAAATATAGCTTTTTAAAAGCAACTAACAAGAAGATAGTTGCTATATGTTAGCATTTCAAATTGGAAAAAATTCTTGTTGCCTACTTACTATCAAAAGAAAGGAAAAGTCGTTTGTGGCTAGAAGGATGGGTATTTGATGTCTCACGGCAGCACCCAGTGGCCAGCCTGACTGCCTCCTCTGAACCAGAGCAAAGTGTCCCCTTGTATTCTATTAATTCTTATTTCAGGGAGATCTAAATTGTGCGTATGGATAGATTTTAATTTAAACTAAGCTCTGTTTCCATCCCTGTCTCACAAACACTGCACAGATCTTAAGACCTTCCATTTAGCAATTCCAAACAAAATGAGCCTTTTTTTTTTTTTTTTAAGAAAATCAAGTCAACAATTTAGAAGAGGAACTAGATGCCTATTTCTTTAATCACTAACTTTTGTATTTGACCCCTTCGTGATTGCTTTTAAATGTATTGATTTTATGTACTGGACTTGATTGGGAGAAGGAAATGATTAATGAAATAATTTCATAACCATGTTGGTACCAGAAGATAAAACTAGCAGAACATTACTTGATTATTTTAGTGAGTTGATTAGAACCATGGAATGACTAACTCCAGATCTGAACTTTAATGGATTGTATCTTTATCTAGAAAGAGAGGGGCCGGCGATGTGGCCTGGCAGGTAAAGCCACTGCCTGCAGTGCTGTCATCCCATGTAGACGCCAGTTAGAGGCCTGGCTGCTCTACTTCCTGTCCAGTTCTCTGCTATGGCCTGGGAAAGCAGTAGACGATGGCCCAAGACATTGGGCCCTTCCACCCATGTGGGAGACTGGGAAGAAGCTTCTGGCTCCTGGCTTCAGATTGGACCAGGTCGGGCTTTTGCAGCCATTTGGGGAGTGAACCAGTGGATGGAAGACCTCTCTCTTTCTCTCCCCTCCCCCCTGCCTCTGCCTTTCTGTAACTCTGCCTTTCAAATAATAAATAAATAAATATTTAAAAGAATAAAAAATAATAAAAATAAATAATAGAGAGTTGGAAAAGATTAAGAAGTAGAGATAAACCAGGTTGGATCATAGTTGAATTGGAATGTATTATATTTGAGTTTTTAATTAATGCTCCCTGAGTTCTTCTGGTTTCCTCTTATTTTAGGCAATCAGTAATTGTAATGGTTATTCTCTGATGGTGATGAGTGGTAACTATTGAGAATACTCCTTGATTTCTTTTTTTTTTTTTTTTAAGATTTATTTATTTATTTGAAAGAGTTACACAGAGAGAGGAGAGGCAGAAAGAGAGAGGTCTTCCATCCACTGGTTCACTCCCCAGTTGGCTGCAACGGCCGGAGCTATGCCGATCCAAAGCCAGGAGCTTCTTCCGGGTCAACCTGCGGGAGCAGGGGCCCAAGGACTTGGACCATCTTCTACTGCTTTCCCAGGGCATAGCAGAGAGATAGATCGGAAGTGGAGCAGCCAGGTCTCAAACCGCCGCCTATATTGGATGCCTGTGCTTCAGGCCAGGGCATTAACCCGCTGTGCCACAGCGCCAGCCCCTCCTTGATTTCTTTGGTTAATTAGACACCCTTTCCCAATTAACCAAATTATTTTTTTTTCTGATTTTTTTTGTATTTTTATAGATTTATTTATTTATTTGAAAGGTAGAGTTACAGAGGCAGAGAGAGAGAGAGAGGTCTTCCATCCACTGGTTCACTCCCCAAATGGCTACATAGCTGGAGCTGGGCTGATCTGAAGCTTCTTCCAGGTCTCCCATGTGCATGCAGGGACCCAAGGACTTGGGCCATCTTCTGCTTTTCCAGGCCCTAGCAGAGAGCTGGATCAAAAGTAGAGCAGCCAGGATTCAAACAGGCACCCATATGGGATACTGGCACTGCAGGTGGTGGCTTTTCTGGCTACGCCACAGTGCCAGCCCCAGTTTTGTTTTTTTGTTTTTTGGGGTTTTTTTTTAGGGGGGAGGTAAAGATTTATTCATTTATTTGAACGTCAGAGTTAGAGAGAGGAAGAGACAGAGAGAGAGATCTTCTATCCTCTGGTGTACTCCCCAGAGGGCTGCAATGGCCAGGGCTGAGCTAAGCTGAAACCAGAAGTGTGGAGCTCATCACGGTTTCCCATGTGGATGGCAAGGGCCCAAAAGCTTGGGCCTTCCTCTGCTGTTTTTCTCAGCCCGTTAGCCAGGGAGCTGGATCAGAAGCAGAGCTGCCAGCTCACAGACCAGAACCCAAATGAGATACTGGCATTGCCAGCAGCAGCCTTGCTGGCTTTGGCACATTGCTGGCCCCTCCAAATTATTTTTTAATATTTAAATTAAGAGATCACACTTTCCATAATAATAATTAATCCATAGAGTTCACTTTTAAAAAAAAATTGGGGGTGTGGGTGTAGAGAAACAGAGATAGAGTTCCCATCTGCTGGTTTACCCCTCAGTTGCCTGCAATGGCTGGAACTGAACTAGCCTGAAGCCAGGAGCCAGGAACTCAATCTAAATCTGCCATGCGGGTGGCAGGGACCCAACCATTGGAACCATCATGGTTCTACTGAGGTCGGCATTGGCAAGAAGCTGGTGTCAGGAGCTGGAGGCAAGTGCAAAGCCCAGGTGCAGCCAGGCAGGATGTGGGCATCTTAGCCAGCACTAGGCTGAACGCCTGTTCCCCAAGCCCACTTCCCTTTCCTAATGGCAAAGGGAAAGATGTACTCCCAGCAGAGTGACCCATGGATGGCCCTGCCACAACCGAGAGGCAGGCTTAGGAATACCGGCATGCGACAGAGAACCGTATTATGAGGCCCCTGCTCTGGTGCTCTGAGATGGACACAGCATCGACTTATCTTGGATCCAGTCATGAGGAAACAGATAAACCATGTTGAGAGAGGTCCCACCATGCCGCTGGCCTAGATACCTTAAGATATCAGTGTCAGGGAAGACATTCCAGCCTCCTCCCAAGGAGACCTGCTGGGAAGCACTTCTGGAGAGAAGGGGCCAGGAGAGACAAGGATAGCAGTAAGGGACATCCTGGGGCAATTTAGGGCACTTTACTGAAGATGGTATGTTAAATCACTTGTTAATATATGCTCAGCTTCCTGTATGTGATAATTATTTTTATGTAGGGGAATGACCTTGTTTTGGTTTAGGAGTGAAGAGCCACAGGGACTGTAAAACCGCACAGGGAGAGATTGAGGGAGCAGGAACGGGAGAGCAGGAGTAGCAAAGTGTTGTTCATCAGGAGACTAAAAATAAAGCAGGTCTTAGCGGCTCCTGGTGGAGACTTGGTCTGCCTTCTCTCTCGCCCTCCATCCAAAATCTTATTGCAGTTTATGCTAATTGCCTCTTCATCTGCTTTTTAAGTCTGTTAATAGACTAGAAGCATCCTTTTAGAAGAATTGAAGTTTTAATCAAACCTCTGGAATCATTTACTCTTTGCATAATAGCACAGTAAGTGAGGCTTTATCCTACAATAATAGGATAGTTTGACTTGTAATTTTAAAGGCAAAAACTCAGGTATTGAAATTTGAGCTGGAGCATTCTAAGGAAGTGGGATTTGGTTGAGGAAATGTAAGATCAGGCAGATGATTCCAATTCTTATCTCTTGGTTTCCTTAAAGCTGTTCATTTTGTTCTAATCACTACTCTTTTCTGAATGTACTGATCAGGATGCCTCGTGCAGAAGCAAACTAGAAGTTGCGGACGGTAAGATGCAGCACGACAGTGATGGGGTGTGTGTGTGTGTGTGTGTGTGTGTGTGTGTTGTGTGTTGTGCATCGAGTCAGATGTAAGTAGAGTGAAATTCAAGTGCTTGGCAATGCAGAATCAACTTGAAAAACAAAAATTGATTAATACAGATTATAGTAAATTGTGGTTTTGGTGTTTTCAGATAATCTTTTGAAAATATCCTACAAAGTTTATATATATGTAAATTGCTTTTTGTTTTTTTCATAGAGGAGTGAATGTCATTCCTTTTCTAGAACTCATTGGGTTACCTGACAGCATAGTAAACATCCTGAAAAATTCCCAGAGTGGAAATGCACTGACAGCATATGCCATGTTTAAGGTGGGTGCTGTTCCACACAGGCTGCCCTGGTACTCGCAGACCTGACCCCTGACCTGCCTACTCTCCTTAAAGCTCCCCGTTCGCTCCCAGGAGTCCTTTACAACTGAAACCCTTGTGCTTCATCTCCTCTGTGTCTAGTAAAGTAAGGTTATCGAATTGTAAAGTGTAAATAAGACGATGGCTTTAGGAAGAAGTGCCTTCACGAGTAGAGGATCATTCCTGGCTTGCTGGGGTCAACATGAGACTCACCAATTCCTCTCCCCTCTGCAGAGATCTTTGTGCTACCTGACTTACTGCTGAAACGTAGCATTTATTTTACTGCTTATGATAGCTCACCTTTTCCTAGCAGGTGAAATAGTAAGGTTTAACCCAAACTGTTTTATGTGGTAAATCAGGCTTAGTTATTTGTCTTGTTTTAGATGTTCTTTGGATTCAGATGCCATTCTTTTTATAAATAGTTTCTATACCCATGGGCCTTGGAAGAGAAGACTCACTGTAAATTATAAGATTTAACCATATTGATATAATTTTCTCAATTGACAAATTCTTATGAGATTCTATGAAGCATCTACCAAAGAAAAAATGGGTAGAAAATGTTATTTTACTTCTGCTTACACAAAAATACCTGGAATCATGGCTTCCTAGTCCTATGCATAGTACTGTGTTCTGTCATCCTTACCAGAATCCTGTGAAATCTTTTACTGTAATTTTGGCTAGAGGACTAAAGCTTAATTGCTGAATTTTTCTAATTAAAGCATACTAAATTCATACATTATGACGTTTCTAGTTACATTGGGAATAAGGTAAGCTTAATAAATCACGTGTTCTTCTCCCACGTGGCTCTGGTGGCTCTGGATTTGTTTAGTGTTTGCTTTATTCGATGATGCGCTCCATGGACTTTAGAATGGAATCTTCCTTGTCTGGGTTTTTCCTCTGCCTGGGGTGGTTTGTCTGTGGAGCTGGGACTGAAACCTGACACTGTGCTGACGGCAGGTCAGTGATCAGTGCCAGTTGCGGTACCCCTCACTGTTTGCTATGAGGTGGGAAAGGGCGGGGTGGGTACAAATCCTCCTGTGTGTTTTCTGTAACCCATGATTTCTCAAGTAGAATGACACAGATTTATTACCTCCTGGAGGCAAAGCCCCAAAGTGAGGCGTGGCAGGGATGAGAAAATTGCTGGGTGGTGTGACCCCATGACATTGCTGCAGTGTGCTTGGTACTCATCCCTACTGTGTGCTGGGCACCACCCTAGGTCCTGGGAATATGCTACTCAAATACACAGTGCATGGGACCTGCTCCCCTTCCCCCACCCACCCAGGCGCTATGTTCTGGTGAATGGCATGGGGCAAAGAGACAGTTGGAGAGAAAAAGAAGAGCAAATTAAAAATGTACACACAGAGTGAGTGTATTCAGATGTTCAGTGCTGAGAAGAGAATGCACTAGGGCTGGGGTGTGTTTATGGAGCATTCCAGGGAGGTTGCAGTGTGAGAGCCAAGGCCCCTCTGAGAAGGCGAGAGTTGACTGGGCTGCTCCTGGGGAAAGAGTGTTCCAAGCAGAGACACCAGGGGCCAGGGTATGGGGTATTCAGGGCTAGTGGAGGGGGGAGAGCCAGCTCAGTGGCCTTGTCAGCCCTTGTAAGGACTTCAGCTTTTGCTCTGAATGTATGTAGAGCCATTGGGTGCTTCGAGCCTCTGACCTGTTTCGACACAGTCACTATGGCTGCCATGTTGGGAACAAACAGTAGCAGGGCAAGGGTGGGAGACAAATTACCTGGCAGGAGGTTATCACAGTAGCCTAAGGAAGGACCCAGGTGGTTGCAGGATGGTGGTGAGAAGTAGCTGGAGTCTGATGGGGTTTTCTAATGGTGTGGATATAAACGTGAGGGAAAGAGGATTGGAAGCCATACCATAGGTTGTGAGCCTGAGGTACTAGAAGTGTAGAGTTCCTGCTGCGATGGGAAGGACTTTGAGAGGAGCAGGCTGCAGTGGGACAGGTAAGGCAGGAGGTCAGCCTTGAACTAAGTAACTGTTGGGAAGGAAAGTGAAGGTCACTAGATGGCTGTCAATGGCTAGAATTCCAGGAAAAGTTTCAGGTCTAGAGATCTGAATGTAACAACCATCCATGTGTCGATGGCATTAGAGACAAGAAATGGGAGAACCACCAGGGAGGGAGGGGATGGCATAAGAAGAGGTCTAGGAGCCAGGTGTCGTCCTGTGGTCAGTGGCAGAGGTGTGGAGGGGCAGGTCTATCCTGGCACCGGGTGCAGGGAGTGTTGGGGACAGCAGGAGCTCCATCGTGTGGCTCTGATCGTTCTGGGGCAGGGTACAGATTGACAGCTGGATGTGTTTTTCTAGAAGTCCCTGCGACTCTGATGAGCAGTTTGATGAAGGGGTTAGCGTGAAAACTTTGTTGGAGTAAGTTGGAGAGAGGCTGGAGTGAGCATAGCCAGCCGTTTGCAAGGGCTTTGGTGAACAGCAGCCCAGCAGTCACACTCAGAATGCAGTGCAGCCTCGCTCCTGTCAAGGCCCCCTGTGGCCAGTCGTCTCCCCTTTGGTCCTGGTATATAAATCTCTGGTCAGAGGTGGAGCTGTGACCTGTCAGTACCGTGGGCACCACCATTTTACCACTTTTGACCTCATAGAAGTTCCCAGCTGGGATGCCAGGCCCAGAGTGAATTGTGATAGATAGCATAAGGCTCAGAAAAGTCAAGGAAAAGAATTTGGAAGTGGAGCTAACCCCACTAAGAGTAAATGTTTGCCTTGCTCTGTCTCTTGCCATCTGGAGAAGTTTGGTTCTGGTTTAGCTCCAGATACACAAGGGTACCTCAGAAAAACCATGGAAAATGGAATGCAAGGATTAGGTTTATTTTGGTGCAGAAGTTTTGTGTTTTTTTTTTTTTAATCCCTGGACATAGAATAGTTCATGAAAAGCGCATATTATGAACATAACCACACAGATAGTTATGCTAGATTTCAGCCTGTTGAAGCATTCATTTATCCTGGTTGGTTAGTCCCAGGAACTTTAATTTCAGCCCAGGTTTGCATAAGATGATAGTCCTAACCTGGTGTTGATCTGCCTGTTTGCTCTTTTTCTGAAGATTGCAACACCTGCCCGGTACACAGTGACCTTGGGAGGGACGTCCTTCACTGTGAAGTACCTGCGCAGCCGAGGCTACATGTCCACCCCGCCGCCCGTGAAGGAGTACCTGCAGGACCGCATGGAGGAGACCAAGGAGCTGCTCTCCGAGAAGATGGAGGAGACCAAGGACAGGCTCACTGAGAAGCTCCAGGAAACCAAAGAGAAAGTTTCTTTCAAGAAGAAAGTGGAGTAGGGTCCTTACACGACAGCAAACGCCTGTACTCCGATCCTTTGGGGACTGGGCAAAGATGTGTGCTTCTGGGTTGTTTTATATTTTTGTTTTTGTTGGTGGTTAGTCGCCTGACTATTGTAGTAGTCTGAGGGCTAAAGAATTCAGATACTGTTGTACAGTTAAATATCACAAGAAAAATCAGTGTTTTTTGAAAGGAAAGAATGAACCCTGTATAAGTCTCTCACAGCAGCAGCCATAAGCAGTGGCTGCCGTCTTAGGCATCAGAGTTCCCTGTGAGGCTCTTCAGGGTCCTGTTTGCTGCAGCTTTCACTGGCTGTGCTGGACTCCTCAGATAACTGTTAACCCTGCTAACGCTCATGTGTCCACTAAGGTTTTAACTGTATTTTCCCTGTGGAGACAAACTAGCATCATCAGAACTGCCTGTGAATAAGCGGGGAGTTAGTCTTTCTATAAAAAATTATCTTAACAGTTACCTACGCATTAAAGTATAGACCCTATTAGATGAAGAAAGGCAAATAAAAATTCAGTCATATATTTGTAAATGAGATGTACTGGTTATATGTACATAGGAAATGGACCTTTAAACTGATTTTTACCTGAAGCTCATCATTATCAAAATTTTTAAAGCAATCTCTATGGCCATAGTACCTTTTCAAAGCCGTGCATTGGTGGTGATCAGCGGATGGAAAACATGGTTGTGAGTCCTGGGTGTCCTCTCTGACTCGTGTCTCAGAAGACAAGTGATATGATTGCCCTGTGGGTGTGCTGTGAGGCCACGTGTTCCTGCACAGCTGCCTGGCGCGGGAGACAGGGTGGCCTCCATTGTCTCCTCATGGAGCCCGCACAGCTCGTGCAGCAAACCAGTGTCTTTCTTTCAGTGTTAATGTTGATTGCATCATGGAGCAAATTTTTTAAGTTGCTGCTGATTTTTTGTTGTTGTTGAAATAGCAAAATTGTCATTAAATGACCTTTTTGAAATGATGTCTGGCCATTGTTGGACACAAGAGCTGCCCTGACAGTGGCACGCGTGAGTTTGCGTGTGTCTGTTTCCTTTTGCTCTCTCAGCTTTTACTTCCATTGCAACAAGGGAGCTGGAGTTGGAGGAGAAAGTAGTCTCTTGATGGTGTCTGCTTTGCCTTCTCTGCTAATATGACAGAGTGTTGGTGGGTTTGCCACACGGTCCTGCAGGGAGCCCTGCTATTTGGCAGGATTGTTTTTTCAACCAAATTTTTAGTTAGGCCAAAGTTTTAAAGAGTGGTTTAAAGGGGAGAAATGCCTTTGATTCACGTGTGCTATGTTGGAGTACTTTTTCAGCGAGCGCGCTGCAGCTGGCATCTCTGTGGAGATGGAGTGGGGATGAGGGCAGGAGCTGGCTGTGCTTTCTTGTGCCGCTGTCTCCGGCTGCCGAGCGGGAATGCCCTCTCCACCCCAGCCACCCCTTTGCACGTCTGATCATTAACGTGTTGTAGTACATTTATTAAATCACATTTTTGCAGCTATTAAATGCTAAGATATTAATAGATTTCTTGTTTCTTTTTTTCTCAGTCATTTGAGATTGCCTATGAAATCCTGGGCTATATGAAATGCTTCTAAAACTATTTTCTTTTTACTTTTTCTATCACACAGAGCATATTTTCCAGTGAGATAAACTGAGTGTTCTTAGTTTATTATTAGTGATACTAATAATATTGAGACCAAAGTTTGCTTTTTCTGCTAGACTTCTTTTGTTCAGTCCCTGGAGTGCTGCTGCCATGCAGCAGTGTGACTGTGCTGTGTTTCTCCAGCTAGAGACGCGGAGGTACTGCCCGTGAGTGCTTTGGAATGCTGTAGTGCTCTTGTCATTATTTGGCATCAGGAATTGCACAGAAACACTCTTGCCAGCACATTGCTAGCCTAATACTTAAGGCGAAGTACGAATAGCTTATAAGGATCACTATAGGGGGCAGCTGGGTAAAGCTGCCACCTGCCACACCAGCATCCCATGGTGGGTGCAGATTTATGTCCTGGCTGCTCCACTTCCAATCCAGCTACCTGATAATAGCCTGGGAAAAGCAGCGGAAGATGGCCCAAAGGTTTGTGCTCCTGCCACCCACGTGGGAGACCTGGAGGAAGCTCCTGGCCTGCCTTCAGCCTGGCCCAGCACTGTCCATTGCAGCCATCTAGGGAGTGAAACAGCAGATAGAAGATCTCTCTCCCTCTCTGTGTAGCTCTGACTTTCAAAATAAATAAATAGATCACTGTAACATGTTGAGGTTAGGATATTAATAGCAGGCCAACAAAATATAATCATGTCAAATTAAAACCTCAAAAATACGTGACAGATAGATAGATACACATATTAATCCTCATCACCTTTACACTAAGGCTTACTCTGGGTTTATTCCCCCATAGCTTCTGGGGCCTGTGAGGGAGGCAGAGCTGCTCCTGCATTTCTGTGAGATGCGTTGATGGTGGAAAGGGAGCCAGGAGTTAGCGCTGCCTAAAGAAAATGGACAGAAAGGTGTGCTCAGCAGACTGATCATTCAAATGAGAAATGGATTAGACAGGAGACTTAGCTTATTCAAGAGTGACAGCAGAACCAGCCTTTAACAAACCACATCAGATGACATCTGTTGTTGTCACAGCTTCTGCCTACAGCAATGCTGCTTACAAGATCAGCAAAGGAGAAAAGCAAGCATTTTGCAAAGATTACTTCCTCCCCGTAGTGAAAATAAAAGGATGCCTTCAGGTGTAATCGTGTGTTTCTTGGTTGTCACAGAAGCTGCCCCACTCACTCAAAAATGAAAGACGGCGATGCACTGCTCATGCTCCAGATGAGAGGGCGCCCCTGGCTGGCTCCCGTGAGTGATTCCAGGAGTGGTTGATGCCTACCTCACAGGAGGTGATTGGAGAAAGGAAGGGAGGAGATGTGTGAGACACAGTGAGTTACTTTCTCGTCCTTGGCACTGGGTTAGGCCATCTCCAGTATTTCATACCAGATGTGAGCCAGGACTCAGCAGAACGCAGCATCAGTAGTGAAAGGGACAGATGAGGCAGAAGGAAAATGAGCACATCTGGAATAACGTTTTTAGAAGGTACTTTTGATTTCTGAATTACTAAAGGAGTCCATCTCAGGTAGCCCATGGTGGGGTAACAGACTTGTTTTCACTTTCTGACTTGAATACCATCCAGATTTTCCAAAGGTCTAAAATAAAAGGCGAAGTATTTTCAAATAATTTTCACCTGTTCAGACCTCCCCCCCCCCCCAACCTTTAAAGTATTTTTTGGTTTGAGAAGCTCATTACTAACTGCCTACATCAGTGCCAGGGTCTTTCAGTGCATTGGCCCAGATGCCCACAGGGCTGTGGTGGACATTCAGAGAGGGAAGTAGAGGCCTCAGCACTGGCAGCATAACCCTCAAAACCAGAGAACTGCAGAACCACACATGCATTTTATTTACTCTGCAAATGTTAGGTCTTGGGAGGCCAGCGTTGTGGTGTAGCGGGTGAAGTCACCACCTACAGTGCCGGAATCTCCTATGGGTGCTGGTTCGAGTCCCGGCAGCTCCACTTCTGATCCAGCTCTCTGCTATGGCCTGGGAAAGCAGTAGAAGATGGCCCAAGTCCTTGGGCCCCTGCACCCGCGTGGGAGACCTGGAAGAAGCTCCTGGCTTCTGGCTTCAGATCGGCACAGCTCCGGCTGTTGGGGCCAATTGGGGAGTGAACCAGTGGATGGAAGACACTCTCTCTCTCTCTCTCTCTCTCTCTCTCTCTCTTCCCCGCCCTCGCCTTCTCTCTGTGTATAACTCTGACTTTCAAATAAATAAATAAATCTTAAAAAAAAAATTGGTCTCGGGCCTATTTGCATATCACATACTCATGGGTAGGGTTGGTCCTAAGTGGAGTTGACTAGAAGAGACAGCAGGGGTCAAAGACCGCGTTCTTCCCTCACGGAGGAGATGGGGTGCTTTTAGAACCCAGAATACATGATCAGCCAGGAATTTTGGCTTGCTCCTCCAGTTCTTAAAGATTTTTCCCTACACATAGGCTTGTAACTTACTTGAGAAATGCTGAGTCAGGCCTGTAGACTAGGTTTTCCTCCAGTGACATTTTTGTGCCTTTGTGGCTTCTGTGTTAAGTTTGTTCACATTAACTAGTCAAAACAAGCTTCTGATTGTCTTGCTTCTCGGAGGTTAGGCTTTGAAAATCCAGCTGAGTTCCCTGTGCATCACTGACAGTAATAACCACGGGCCCCAATTACTCTAGGGCAGTTATCTGGCTGGTTGCTAAGCTTGATCGTCCTGGTAGAAAGAAGGTTCTGATTTCAGAACTGCAGAGGGCAGTGTTGAATCCTGTCCCTTCCTGATGACAACTGGACGGTGCTGGAGAGGAAGGGCCCCAGGAGAGCAGGTGCACGCAGAGAAGCCTTCTCACCCCGAGTCCCCTCTGGGCCAGGAAGACCCCGCCTGCTGCCCACACGTCTTGGCACCAGCTGGGCACGTCTGTGCTGGGGGGTGCAGTTTTGCCTCTGGGTCCCCAGGATTGGGGCAGGCATGGCCCATGCTTCAGTGAGAGCAGGATGGGCTGTCAGCTGGGCCTGATGAATAGCATTACAGGCTCTCATGTGGGGGCAACAGCCTAACAACCTCCATGCTATTTATTTTGGTAATATGAATTTCTCCTTGACCAGATACAAAAGTTTATGGAGAAAGTTTATCTTTGGTGTAAAACATTTTGAAATCATGCAGCATTTTTTCATGAAGTTTTTGAAGATCGCATATGTGGGGAGCAACTGGGAGCAACTCGGACTAGACTAAGTTACTGGAATTAAGACTTATTCTATGCATCTGCTCTCCCACAATATGGCACTGGGAGAGGAGGAAACAGCTTCTACACAGCTGCCTCCAGTTCAACCAATAAACTGTAGGACCTGCTCCTGATTGGAGGAGAGCAGCGTACTCGGCGTGTGGGTAGCAGAGTTGGGATTGGTGGAAGAGGACTATAAAGGAGGAGAGAGACCATGCACCAGGAACATCTAGGGGAACATCTATCTGAAGGAACACCTGTGCAGCCCCCGAGAGAGCCGGCCGGCTGTGTGCCGCTCCCCCGCGGAAGTGGGGAAAGTGGCTAGGGGGAACCGCCCTTCCACGGAGGTGGAAGGGTCGGTAGCCAACCCGGGAAGAACCAGCAGCAAACCCGGGAAGGGCCGCGCAGACAAAAGAACAGCGCAGGGTCCTGTGTCGTTCCTCCACGAAGACGGGGAGCGACAGCATATGCATGGATATCATGAAAGTTTTTGGTAGGAAACGTCTTTTAATTACATTTTACCATGAATTTTTTTGGAGTACTCATACCTGGTGAAAGCCAACCTTTTAGACTATTTTGATACTTTCATCAAGGCAGCTCTACCATTTGATATACAGAATCATGGTGATTCTATATCTTCCCTCATACCAATCAGACGTGTAACTCCATAAAACCTGATATTTCTTTAAAGCCACAAACAGCATTTTCTCTCTATGCATTTGTGCTTCATATGCTCCTCTACATGCCAGATTTGAGATTCTGCAATGACCAAAGCATGTTTTGACTAATTTGTATTTTACTGAATTTGAGTCAGTATTTTATTTTCTTATGTAAGAAAACCACTACTTTGGTTCTTTTAGGCTAAGGGCTCCAACCCACAGCGCTGATCGATCTGCTGCTGCAGTCTGGGTGGAGCCATGGGGTCCTATCACCACGCACTCTTCAGCCCTTGTTAGAGAAGATGCAGGGGCTGACACTGGCTCAGTGGGGAAAGCTGCTGCATATGATGCTGGCTTAGTACCAGTTCATGTCCTGGCTGCTTCACTTCCAATCCAGCTCCCTGCTAATGTGCCTGGGAAAGCAGTGGAAGATGGATCAAGTGCTTGGGCCCCCCTGCACCTACGTGGGAGACCTAGGTGGAGTTCCAGGATCCTGGCGTCAGTCTGGCCCTGCCCTGGCTGTTGGGGCCATCTGGGGAGTGAACCAACAGATGGAAGATTCTCTAACTCTGCCTTTCAAATAAATAAACCTTTAAAATGAAAAGTAGACCGTGGTGGTACATGACATGCGTTCTTCTTTTAGTCCAGAAATGAAAGACAAGTCTCAGTTTCCAAAACAAAGTTAAAAATATCCTCAAGTAAGTGATGTGCCCATGACCTAGCGCACCTTCTGTTGAGAAACCAAGACCATTCATTCATTTCATTCTTTGGCAAGCATTTCAGATCAATAGTTCTTGAGTCATAAGTCCCAGGCTTGCTGGCGGAGCTGTAGGATTTGATGTTTTGTTGGACGCAGAAGGACACAGAGACACACGAAGAGAGCCGCAACCGAAAGAGCAGGGTCCGAAGCTCACCCCCTGCTTCCAGGTCAGCTCCTCCCTGCGTGCCAGGCACCGGGCAGCTGGAACACACTCTGGGACTGCTGCACTTCGATCAAGCCAATTCACTGGGACTCCCTACCCTGTCTCCGGCTGGTACCTCCCACCTTCTGTTGGCTTTCTGTCACTCTTCATTCTCTGAGATGCTGCTCTGTGTCTGCAGAGTGATGGGGAGGGGCGACAGTCATGCTCTGTGACCTCAGTTTCTGACTGCAGGAAAGAAGCGTGAATTTCTCGCATTCTAGCTTCATTTTCCTCTCAGCCTGCACTGGACAGTGGGACAGGAGGTCTGTGCGAGCCAGCTCAGGGCTGTCGTCTGTCACCATCTGGGTGAGCCAGCCTCGGCAAAGCACTTAGCAGCTATTTTTAAACTCCCAAATCCATACTTGAGAGCTAGTACTGAGAGGTTCTGTAACTAAGTAGTTATTATATATCTGTATCAGCCTTAAGTACCTGACACACCCAAAGAGGACTTGACTCCAGGAAATCCCAATGCCCCCTCGGTACCAAACGAGTCTGTGTTTCCTGCTTGCTGCAGAGCTTGTATCTGGCGTGGTCAATGCCAGCACAGATTGGAATTTTCCATTTAATTGCTGCCAATCACTGGAACATCTGAAGTGATGGGGAGCTGGCATGAGTGGAAAATTCTAGTGCTGAGCAGTTTAGAATACCCCTGATTAAGAACTATTGGGGCCGGCGCCGCGGCTCACTAAGCTAATCCTCCACCTAGCGGCGCCGGCACACCGGGTTCTAGTCCCGGTCGGGGCGCTGGATTCTGTCCCGGTTGCCCCTCTTCCAGGCCAGCTCTCTGCTATGGCCCGGGAGTGCAGTGGAGGATGGCCCAAGTGCTTGGGCCCTGCACCCTATGGGAGACCAGGAGAAGCACCTGGCTCCTGCCTTCGGATTAGCGCAGTGCACAGGCCGCAGCGCGCCAGCCGTGGCGGCCATTGGAGGGTGAACCAACGGCAAAGGAAGACCTTTCTCTCTGTCTCTCTCTCACTGTCCACTCTGCCTGTCCAAAAAAAAAAAAAAAAAACTATTGGGTTTCACCAGAATACAGAAGTTGGCCTCTCTTGAGTCCTGTGAAAATTCTTAACCCTAAACCAACACTTGTATTGTATCACACACTCAAAAATCTGTTGAGAGGGTCGATCTCATGCTACATGTTCCGGCTACAGTAACTGAACAGCGCAGGCAATGTGCCCCGCAAGCTGGCGGCTGTGCGCACGGGGACCTGGCTGCCGCGCAGAGCTGTGCCCGGGCAGTGCCGCGTCTGGTGAGCCTGACAGGCTGGGCTTTCCTGTGGCCCAGGTTGGGTTGGTCCGCTGCCCAGCATCCCCTCTGGACGCCAAGGATGGTCTGGGCGGCAGCCTCTCCCGTCTCTGCTTGTCCAAAACACGCAGAGACAGCAACTAGGAGAGGTATCAGAGTGAGGAAGGTGGACACGCGGTCATGTACATCTGTTAGGGCAAAGCCCAGGTGCCTGCAGAGAACGGGCAGGCCGACCGGCAGGGGGCGCCACATGGGGCCTGTTTCATCAACGCTGGCTCGCACCCACCTGCTCATCAAGAGCCAGAAAGGAAATGATTGTTGAACCCTTTCTTCTAAGGAAACCCTTGTGGGTGTTAACGTCTTACTATATGGTTGTTAAAACACACACACACACACACACACACACACACACACACACACACACACACAAAAACAAAACTCCACCTCCCCACCCCGAACCGGAGGTGTGCGTGCACCGCCGTCCAGGGACGCAGCCTCCGCAGCTAGTGGTGCAGCTAGCTGGTGCCAGGAGCCACGTGTGCGTGCTTGAAAACCTTTGTTGGAGGCTTTGGGCCTGGCCGTTTGCTCTTCTCCAAAGGCGGGCTGCTGGGAGCCGGCGCGGCGCTCCCTGCAGGGACGGAAAATCAGCGTCGTTTTCATGGCATCTGAAGCCGCAGTCGCTAGTCACAAGAGTGAAAGCGCCTTACTGACGTCCAGTGAAAGGCCGGGCAGTGACTGGCGCCGTCTCTGAGGAGCTGTAGGAGCTGTAGGACGAGCACATCCCCGCGCGCGCGCTGCCAAGCACGTGTCGCGGCGCCGTTCGCAGATGAGACCTAAAACTCGGGTGAAGCGAGGATCTGAACCATCCCGGCCTCTTTAAGCACAAGGCCTGCGCTGCCCTTTGGAGTCGGAAATATGCAGGAAGCCACGTCACCTCTGACCCCAGGCCAAAGACAGGCAGGAGAAATGGGGCCGCCACTTAGCTGGGGCAGCGGGGTGGGGGTGCAGCACCTCCATCACGTCGCTGCCGCCAGTGCTGCGTGCGAGCAGGAGGGACGAACGCAACTCCACAAACGGAAGTGGCCTCGTGGGCAGGCTCAGCTGTGCCGGAGCCACTGCCACCAGGGCACTCCACAGTTCATGGAAAATGGCACTGAAACAAATGCACTTGGGTGAGGCTGGACAGGACACCTGGTTTCTTCTTTTTCTATTTCACGTTTCCCACTCACTTTCTGAAGAGTCCTTGCGGCCTGCAGCTTGTTTGTCTTAAATGTGCGTGCTTGCTGGAGCCTGTACTTTCAGTCACCACTTGGCTGTGTTCAAACCACCACAGCCGTCTCTTTGCAAAGGAGAGTGTGAAGTACAGTGAATGGCGTTTGCATCATTAAGGGCCAAAGCTGACAGAAACATGGCATTAACACAGAGCTGTACAAATGCGAAGGTCTTACCTTTTGGCTGCTGTTTTGAAAACGTGCATCTTAATGTGAATCCATCTGAACAAAACAGATGAACGGAAGCTCCTGAGAGCAGTCTGGCCATGCTGCTCCAAGGGGAAGACTCGGAATCAGGTGCCCCGGGGCAGGCGTCACCACAGGGAGAGTAGGGGAAGCATGGTGTTTGGGGCAGGAGCCCTGAAGGATTCCCTGGGGGCTGGGGCAGCCTGCTGGCTATGATTTCTGCTTAGCAGGTAACAGCTCTGCGTTGCAAAAACAAGCCAGTGCTTACAATAAATTGGTCAAAGACAGACAGGAATTGCTCAGCTTCAGAAACTAGAGGGGTTTGGTGACAAGCAGCAATGAAGTGGAGAAGTCCCCGATGTCACCAGGTCAGGAAGCCCAGGACAGCAGAGGGACTGTTGTCAAGGCCAGGGGCATCTGACAGTAAGCGGTGGTACAGCCGGAAAGGAGAGGCTGCAGAAATGGGTGTGGTGTGTGTGTGTGTGTGCGCGCGCGTGCGGCCAGGAGTCGTTCAGAGGCACGACTCACGCTTTTCCCTCCCATTCACTCCTCTCAGCTGCTTCCTCTCAGCAGCTCCTGGATCCTGGACTAGTCCTTTGCTTCCAGGGGGATCCACACGAGACAGCTACTGAAGTGACAAGTGGCGCAGACTCGCAGTGGCAGGGTGGGGAGGGCCCTGCTTCGTCGGGGTTGCTGAATCAGACCACACCAATTAGGGATCGCAGCCCTGACGTGGCCCCGCGCCCCCTTCCTTCCTGATGTCACTGCTAGCAAGTCTGGAGCCCGTTCCTTACAATTTCTCTAATGATTTGCTGAGTTCAGAGATTACAACATTTCTTCCAGAGCTTATTAGTGACTCTCTTAAGAGGAAGAAATCCTTTCCTTAATTGCTCTTTTCCTTAGTGCTATTTTCTAATCCTCTTTCCAAAATAATCTTAAAAGACATTAAATCAGTGGGTGTGACAACAAGAACTTCGGGCCCTCCCAATTACTTACATGAGAAGTTTTGAAATTACAGGTTCCATTTGTTCCATTACAAGGATGCAGAAACGCAAAAGAGAGGTTCTTGCTGAATTCACGCATTCTAGTTTGGTAGATCGTGCGGGGCCTGTGCGTGGAAAATCAGGTCACCTGTGGACACAGGTAGTGATAGCTTAGGGATGATATCCTGACGTGTTGATGCAGGCCACTTAGAATCTGAAGCCCTCTGAGGCCTAGGAGTTGCATGCGTCTGTCGTGGGTTCCCTGGCAGCATGGCGGCCCTCCAGAACCCGGGCGCCCTCAGATGGCCAACAGTGCTCTGGGTACCCCACCCCCACCCCCACCCCCAGCGCTCCATGTGGAGCCCAGAGTCGGGGAAGGAATCCTGCGATGTGATCCCACCAGAGCTGTTTCGAGCCAAATATGAAGTAATGACTTTTGAAAAGCCAGAGTGACTGACAGCTGAGTGGAAAGTTTAGCTGGGGCACCACTGGAAGTGCGTTCCTGAGACAGGTGTTAAACACTCGTCACTTTTTCCCATGTGTGTGCTTTGCTGCTGACACATAAAAACAAAAGAAACACCCGGGGGACAAATGTTTGTCACTGTTTATTTTTAATGATTTTGTGGTATGGTCTGGCCACAGCATTAAGAACAAGCAGAAAAATCTTGATTTCATGACTAAGAAAACAGCATTTAGAGCAACATCTTTCTTTAAAGTGTTTGTTACAGACCTCAGGCCTCAGAACTCTGTACCGGCGCTCAGTTCAAAGGGGCAGATATACGACAGTGGAAATCTTTCTCTATGTAACTGGGAATCAAGCTGAAAAGCAAAGTGGTTCTTAAAAAAGACTTTAATGACTTCTGATTATCATAGCTCACAAACAGATAATGAAAACTTCAAATACATTTGTACTTTCTTAATAGATTGCCTTGCAATAAAAATTAAATGACCGAAATGCCGTGAATAGTATTGTACATATTTTTAAAACAGCTTTAAACTAGACAAGCATACAATGAGAAAATGTGATTTTTGAAAGCCACAGAATGAAAAACAGCAGTATGCTAACAAGCAGGTTAAAATGAGCCGGTTTCACTGTCAGTGAAGTTTAAGCCTCAGCTCTGGTACAGGCACACAGCTCAGAACCTTCTCACACTCGCTGGTTCTCCCAAGAGGTCAAACTTAGTAGAGGGAGCTTCGTGTCTGACAGTAACGCACCTCTGTCCTAATGCTGGGTCCCTCGGGTGCACCCTGCGGTGTGCAGAGGGGGCCCCCATGCAATGCCCATGCGAGAGGGTCATCCAATGCCCTTTTAGATGGGTTCTGGAAGAAGGGCTGACCTCACCCACTCAGCACTGACAGTGACACCATGGGGGCCTTTCCACCTTACGGAGGAGCGCAGGAGTGACAGGTCTGACTTTTGGGATGTTCCAGAAGTGGCACATATGCCACGGCAAAGAAAACACATGGGATTTATGGGAATTAAAAACTGCAAATAGGGATCTGGCAGGCAAACTTCTATGGACTGATTTTTATGGACAACAATCAGGGGTCCCCATGCCCTGGATTCAACTCTGCTTTTCACGAACATGGTGTTACAAGTCTTTCTTCCTTTAACAAAATATTAGAACACGTGGAGAAAATACAGTGGTCACAATCGGACACTAACAACCGAGCTGGAAGGGAGGTGTAACTTAACACACAGCTGAATGCGTCGTCTCTGGCCGATGGCAGAACCTCGTTTTGGAGGGATGAGGATTGCCGAGGGGACACCAGAAGGAATGGACAGGACAGTTTTCACGTGGCTGGCAGGCAGCCAGTTCCCATCTAAAAATGTGTAACCCATACACATTTTTTTCCTCAGACCAGGCTCTTCTCTTGAATGCACTTGGCTTTCCCTCCCAGCTCTACTGTTAGTTCATTGGCTCCACAGCTTCAGTTCATACAGGAAAAAGGCACAGAGAGACTTGGGGCCCACGTGGGCATAAATGCCCCTGTAGCTAAGCAGTGCCCCTTGCTGCAGGCAGAGTTACTCAGGGTTGACAGTTTTAACAACAAAAAAGGTGCACCTTGCACTGAAGCTGGACACCTTGCTTGTCCTGCAACATGGGATCCTGTGAGTTCAAAAAGCAAGCTGAAAAGTCCACATTTTTCCCGGACTCAAACAGAACAAACACTGGTCCAAATGAGCACAACGAACATGATTATAATCGGAAGCATCTGGTGGCAACCACAGAGCCGTGGGGCTTTTCCAAATTGACTTTAAGTGTTTTCACAGCAAAGACGCAACTCTGGATTGCTAATATATATGCTGGTCATAAACTGTTGCTTGCTCAGACTTCTTTCCCTTGTGTTATAATATTGATATTTAATAGGAAAATAAACTACATAGACTTTTATCTGTATGCATCCATTTGCAAATTTCCTTACAAAAGAGGACGAAGCACATAGGCATTCACAAATTCTATGCCCTTTCTGTTAAAATTGGTATGATCTGTACATTATTTTACAGTATGAACAATTTGCTGTTCTACCCATTGGGTAGGATATGTGCATAATATATTCAACTTATGTACAGCACCTTACAAATAAAAACCTAAGAAAAGACAGACAACTGAGAAAGCACCATTGCAAGTGAGGCACAGCAAAGGTGGGCGCATCGAGGGCAGGAGGGGGCTCTGTTCCCATTTCTGCTGCAGTGGGAACACCGGGTGCCTAAGTGGCTTGAAAACTGCCACGCCGGTCTCTGCAAGCAGAGGGCGCCTGCGACAGGCGCGTGCAGCCGGGATGTGCTCTCCACATCCTCTGACTCCTACCGCGATGCACACAAACAAGCACACGCCGAGGGAGGCAAGCCAAGGAGGAAGGAAGACGGTGCTGTCCCAGCAAGTCATCCTAGGCTCCCGGACAGCAGCCTCCTGCAGTGGGGGCAGAAGCAGCAGCAGCAAGCAAATGAATGCCCCACCCTGGCAGTGACACAAACCTGAACAACGTGAGAGATGCGGCGCTATGGGTGTAGAAATAACATAGGGTAAATGACATCTGGATTCCTAGACAACGTGGGCTACTGCATGGTGCAGAGTGCTTTATGCTGTGGGCAGTGCAGCTGCTGAGACCTCTCCTTTGTGACCTGGGGTGAATGCAACGTCTCCTGTCCCCTGTCACCGTTACAGAGTGTGATTCCCCACTTTACAGAAGGGAGACAGCTTCCCTTGACAACTTGCTCTTCCTAAATTCACTGAGGATGCGGCCCCCAGTCAAGGGGAGCAGAGGAAGGTCTGGAGGGGCTCAGGCTCGCACATAAAGGTTGGGCAGCCGCTGGTGCAGACAAGGGGAGGGGCTGCAACCGTGTTACTGGGGCCCAGGAGTGGCACCAAGCACTGGCTCTAATCACTTAGATAAGAAAAGCAAAGGGGAACAGGAACCAAGTACCCTCCCCAGTTTAGCTTTCCCTCATACACTGTGGAGCTTTGGACGGTCTAAGAAAAATGCATGGCAGGCAACTAGAATGAGTGTTGCTTCCCTAAGTAGCACAACTCAGCACGCACCTGCAAGCAGGCTCTCTTTTGAGGGGAGCAATGGGTGGCACGCTGGCAGTCTCTGTAGATCAGCCCAAGTCTGGTGTGAGGACACAGTTAGGAGTCTTACAGAGAACAATCAGGTGCAACATGGGAAGTCACTCAGGTCCCAGAGGGGAACCACTGGCTCTGAGGGAGAATCAGTGATCTGAACAGATTCTTCTAGGTCAGAGGTACTGTCTAAAGCACCTCCTGTTAAGTCCTTCTCATTGTGATAAAGACGATCAAATGGAGAAACTTAGAAAGTCAAGAATCACTCATGTGTGTACCCAGTTCCTATGCAGGTGTCAAGCGACCTCTCCATTTCTGCTGGTTCCTGTTTCATCTCTTGTCAGTTTGAGCTAAAATTAGTGAATAAAAGAACAGTCCTTGTGATAAACTTTTGTAACTTTTAAATAGTCTCCCCTGCTATGTTGGGCATTCTTATAGGCTGGACATGTGTCCGTGTGTGTGTGTGTGTGTGTGTGTGTTTGCATGCGTGCCTGAGGTATGGGAGGGTGGTCTGGTTTCATTATCAATAAAAAGTAGATCAACTTTTAAAAGCAAAATTGGTTCCACAATCTCTTTTGCATTAACGATTGCTTTAGTGTGTGAGGACCGCCAGGATTTCTGAAAAGCAAATCTGTGCCAGAAGACTGTGTTCTCACAGATGGGATTCAGCATGCCTTGTGCTTCACACTGCTGGAAGCCCCCGGGACAAGGGAGAGAAGTCCCTGGGGGCGTTCCGGGGTGCTTGTTCCCTCCAGATGTTTCTCCCAGCACCACAGTCCCTGCTGGAAATCTTCACTCATTCTTAGAGCAGGCAGGAAAGTAAGGACTGTGCAACTTGTCTTGAGTCGGAGCTGGAAGGAGAGGTCACCTGATTTAACATCTGGATTGATGATGATCCTCTCCCCTGGCCAGTCCACCTGGGTCCCCAAAAGTGAGGTCTCAACTGGAGGACAAGGGGGAGGCTTTGGGTCATGGCAGTCCCAGCTGCTCTCAAGTTCAGACTTGAAAAACAGCGGGAAAGGCCAGCTCTGACCGGGGTGACCTCTGCCCTGACAGCCCCCTGAGCTCCACTGGGACAAGACTGAGTCCAGCCTCCGAATTTCCACTGCGTCCCTCAAGTGTACGTCAAACAGGGTCATCTGCCTATAATGACAACCCCAGTCCTCCAGGCAAACAAAAGCCCAGTGACCTACCCACCTACCAAGATGAGAAGCAGAAACCAGCAGACTGGGGTGAGATAGGACTTGGGTTCAGCAACCAGCCTCTCCAGCCCTCAGCTTAAGGGCACCTCACAGAGGAAGCGTCACCTCCGAGACCCACGGGCAGACGCCATCGCGTGCACGTGTGCATACATGCTGATTTGGCGCGAAAGCTGCATGGATGGTGGGCATGGAATCAGTGCGTTCTGAGCAGAGGCTCCGCCCCTGGGCATGCCACCTCGGTGCAGCACTCACCGCGAGTACTGGCTGCTGCTGGCACAAAAGCCAGCACTTACATCTGCAGAAGACAGAAGGTTTTTCTGTTTGTTTGTAAGAATGAATGTTTGTAAATATTAGGAATATTAAAACTGAGAATATTTAGAATTCATTTTCTAGTTGCATTTTAACTGCAAGTTGTGCTTTTTTATCCTGTGCTCTTAACATCATCCCCCACGGCCCCTCCTCTGCTGACCACGCTTCCTGAGGGTTTGGGGGGGAGGGGGCCAAGCCCCGCAGGAAGGCGTGGCGCCAGGGGTGGGGGCGTCCAGGGCACGCATCCTCTCAGACTGTATCGCCAATGCCCGAGAGACGCCATGGCTGTGTGTACCGCCTTGGGCTTCTTCCTAGGTGTCAGAAGCCATTGTTGGCATGGCTCGCCCATGAAGGCCATGTGGGGGCGACTGTCCCTGCAGAAGGCCTGCTCTGAGTCTCCAGGAAAGTGGGGGGAGGCGGTGAGGGGCACACTGAGAAGTCACATATTTCAACAGTACTCAAATAGCCACCTTGCACTTTCAACAATTTATTGCATAAAATAAAATATGTATCTGAATATATTTCATGCTACAGTGAAAAAAAATCTAAATTACGGGAGGAACGGCACTAGCGGAGGGGGAGGGCAGCGCCGCGTGGTACTGGATACATAAATGCATGTGTCGTTTCCTTTTTATAAAATATGTGGCTGAGAACGCTCAGAGTAACTCAGATAACAAGCCTGAAATGCCACACTTGGTGTTTCCTGTCTCTCACCCAAAAGGGTTTCAGAGGCTTCAGGGACACACTGCTACTTGATGTGAATTCTAGCAGCAGGGATAGCTTTCCTTTATTTGCCTAAGTTGGTGAACACCAGGCTATATCCTCAAATACCTTTCGTTGCAGGACTCTGGGGAACATTCTGGGGTATCCCCTGGGCCTAGGAACAATGCACAGGTGAAGAGACAACACACAGAATTCCAGGTGCAAACAGTGCCCTCCTAGATAAACATGAAGGTAGTGCAAGCTTTGAGACACAGCAGCACAACACAGAGGAGTTCCTTGCATTCATCCGACTTCTCCACTTTAGACCTTGGCACACAAAACAGGAATTTTGACTCATACTCTTAAAACAAAAGAAAAGTTCCACACCTTGGAGGAAAAAGCAGACTGGCTGATTCTTCCTCCCGATAATATATAATAATGCTTCCTTTTTGATTCCATGAATTATAAAACCGGCCACTGTGGCCTCACTCATCCGCAGTCTCCTTTCAGAATTAAATCATTCAAATGCCTCTGCAGGTTCAATTTCACCCTCTCTTCACAGCATCCCTTTCTCACTTTTCCCCCCTGCCCACCCTGTGCCAAAACCATTCCCGCCCCAACCCCCGCCCCCAAATAAACACTGTTCGCGGTCAAACCGGATGGAAGTTTGTATTATTTCAGTGTAGTTTACATGCAATTCCCCTGAAAGGACTCAGAAACAAAGACTGTGTTTGCACATTTGGTTTTACTTAGTTGTACCACGTAAAACTGAACAACACTGTGCACAGGAGGGGCCCAGCGCGGCCTCCTCCTGCCTCGGTGTCTTTCTCCTCGAGTCAAGTGCACCGTTGGAAGCGATCAGACCAGGTTCCCGGGCTTCCTATCCTTGCCTTTGGTGGGTACTACTGTGCTCTCTGGGTTGTTCTGCACAAACTGCAGTCTGCTGCCCCTGTGCGTGTTGCTGCCGTGCTGGTGATGGAAGAAAGAGGCGCCTGGGCAGCGGCCCACCACCTCGCTGTAGGGCGGGGGCGGCCCCTCTAGCCTCCCGTGACTGCTGCACGTGGTTGCACTGATGCCCGAGTTGCTGCTCGGCGGGCACGGGCCCCCGTTGTACATGGAGATGTCTATCAAATCACTGTCAAATATGGTTCGGTTGGGAGGGGCCCTCACGGACTCCCGGTTGAGTTCCAGCTGCTGTTCAGGGTCCCGGAGCTGCAGGGTGCAGGGCCCCTGGTAAGGAGGCGGCTCTTCACCGTCGGACAGGGAGATGGTGGGAGGGAGGTCGATCTCGTGCTGCACATATGGGTAAGTGGGCTGGAAGCGGCTGAACCGATCCCTCTGGATAAAGGCCGGGGCAGTGAACCTGTCCCTGGCCCGCGGGGCATACATGATCTGCAAGGCAAAGAGGAGAGGCCTGAAGATGCTCTTGGCACACTGATGCCTAGGAATGTGACAGACTCAAGGGAATTCATGCTTGGTCTGCATTCTTACCACTCTGAATGAACACTGTTTTCCCAGACAAAATAGAAAAAGAATACACGCACACACACACACACACACACAATCCCAAAATCCTACAATATTTTAGTGTTCTTTGGTCTCATGACTTAGACCACTCACCCTGCCAGACCACAGTACATCCAGCAGGGCCGAGCAATGCAGGCTTGTGGTTGGAGGAAAATGTGGGTTAGGGGGAGTCACTGTGAGTGCTAAGTGTACACTCCTCAAGGGTTCACACAGAATCCGGCAGTAATTCCAAGAGTGCAGAAAACACACCACAGAGCAAAAGCCCAGCACACAGCTGGTACTCAGATCCGGTTACCAAGTGACCTGGCCAGGCCACGACATCTTTTTAAGGTGTGAGGACAGGACAGGGCTGCCTGCTTCCTCAGATCCCTGTAAGCCCGGGAACCTACAATTCAGCACAGTGCAGGAGGGGCTGCACGCAGTAGAGGTAAGGTACAACGTCACACAGCGGTACCGGCAGCAGGTCCAGGCAGTGGGTCAATTCATTAATTACTTACAGAAGCCTGGTGCCCCATCTGTTACTTTAAAAAAAAATCTAGCAAAAAATTACCTTCATTTTCCTTTCTGGCCTTTAGACTTTTCCAGTTATTTCGATTCTAGACAAAAAGTTCCTATAGCTATTTTTACTCATATGTCAAATGTTTTATAATCAAAGAACTCGATTAAAGATTTTTCAAAATTAATCCAGGTAGTATATTTCTTACAAATCCTCTCATTTATTCCACCATCTAAGTTTCTTCTAAAAGACAGATCATATGTGCATATACATGTATGTGCATGTATACACACACTCACATATATATAGCCATTGAATTGTATCACATGATATTTTTTCAATGTAAAAAATTTGTTATTTGGGGGCCAGGGTTGTGGTACAGGAGGTTAAACTGCTCCTTATGATGCCAGCATCCCATTGGAGCACAGGTTCGAGTTCTGGCTGCCACTTCCAGTCCAGCTCCTCACTAATGTGCCTGGCAAAGCAGCAGAAGATGGCCCGAGTGCTTGGATCCCTGCCACCCACACGGGAGACCCCCACGGAGTTCCTGCTGCTGGCTTTAGCCTGGCTCAGCTCGAGCTGATGCAGCTGACAGAAAATCTCTCTCTTTCTCTGTCACCCTGCCTTTCAAAGCAAAAAAAATTGCAAACTATGCAATTTTAAGTCTCAGATTGTGAAACTTGGATGAAACATGGGATGGTTCACGCTGTGGTGTGTAGAACTTTGCCCACACTCGCCAAGCTTTGTGGGGATCATGCAAAGATCAGTGATGCTCCACCTGATTTCTGTAAGAAATCTTAAATGGGCACAGACAGCCCCTTGAAGACCCTAGAGAAAATCCCTCTCTTGAACCTGAGCAATAGGTAACACTTAACCCATAAGGTACTGCTCCTGGGCCTGACAATGGGTCCCATGCCTGCACTATGGTGGGCCCTGCCCTGGCCGCCCCTTACCTCCGAGGTCCCCGGCCGTGGCACGGTGCTGTCTGAAGGCCACAGGCACCCTTCCTGGCATGGCAAAGGGGAGAGAAGGGAGGAACAAGAAACAGAGGAAAATCATTAGTGTCACGCAGTAACAGCAGCAGCAGCACCCAGAGACATCAGCTACAACTTTTAGAAAAGATCACATTGTTCCTTAGACAGCAGCGGATCTGCCTAAAGCACAGGGCAATCCTCTCCTTAGCACCCTCTGCCTGAAGCCGGGAGGAAGGGCTGGTGACCAAAAAGGGAAAATCAGAACGTTTAGATCCTGGCCATGAGGACTGGAAATCGGTCCATCACTCGCTCCTTCTACACATGTGTGTGCTCGAACAACCGTACTCAACCACTATCTGATAGTTTCAGGGTTCGCTCAACTTTGGAGCAGAGACCAGCCCCACATAAATGTGCACCCCAAGGCCTGCCTGGGCCCCGCTGCCAGCAGCAGTGGCAGCCAGGCACCGCCCACACCCTGGCCAGCTCACAAGTTCAAAACCGAGTTTCCAAAGCCGAGTGCCCTTCCGGCGTCTTCTCGTGAACTGATCTCTGCAGACGGCCAGGGCATGAGTCACTTGCCATCTAGCTGCCGAGTGTCCTTCTTCAGAACTGTCTGGCCAGCGACGGGCAGCGTTCCAGGCCAATCCTCACACCGTGCCCTCGGGCTGCCTCTGGTGAACCCGGATGTCGGGTGGGCTGTCAGCTAAGGGCCTGTTACCACAGTAAAGAGCTGTGCGGGGAGCGAGCGGGGGCCGGACGCCTTGTTTTTGGTTTCCCAGAAGAATGTACATCTGACCTTGGGAGAGAGCACTGAGGCTCGGTCCAGGTCTCGGCAGCAAAACGCCCCAACTCTCCGGATGAAAGGTCCGCCCTGTTCTTTTCTGTGGGTAAGCGTGCTAATATAAATACCCCCTTCGGTGCTAAACAGGGTGTTTGTCTACCACATACAATCCGTTCCTAAGATACCCCTAGGACATCATGGAATCAACAGCAAAAATATAAACTGAGCCAGCTGTGTGAAGAGGAAGTGTGGGCTTAAGGGTCTGACTATAGCATTATGTAATGGACCATTACAGCTCGGCCTGGTGACAGGTGAAGGCCCAGAGAGAATCAAATGACGGCTGTCCCTCACGCCCCACGGCCAAGCTGCTGGCATTGCCCCTTGAGCTCCTGCCCCTGTGGCCAGAATGAAGACCAAGAGCTAGGTCTCTGCTAGTGCTTGCAGCCACGCTCACTCTGGAAACAGCACGGCCAGCGCTCTCCTGGACGTCTTTATAAGGCTCCCAGCTCTGCCTGCCTGTGGGCCACTGTCACTGCTCTTCTGGGGACTTTAGTGTCCAGTTCCAACCTTTCGCTCCCAAGAAGGCACCAGGCCACAGGCACACGTGACAGAGAGAGCATGGTGCAGGGTGATGGTCAAAAACACCGCACCTGGGGGCCGGCGCTGTGGCGCAGCGGGTTGACGCCCTGGCCTGGAGCGCCGGCGTCCCATATGGGCGCCAGTTCTGGTCCCGGCTGTTCCTTTTCCAATCCAGCTCTCTGCTATGGCCTGGGAAAGCAGTAGAAGATGGCCCAAGTCCTTGGGCCCCTGCACCCATGTAGGAGAGCCGGAGGAGGCTCCTGGCTTCAGATTGGTGCGGCTCTGGCCATTGTGGCCAGTTGGGGGGTGAACCATCGTATGGAAGACCTCTCTCTCTTTTTCTCTCTGTGTAACTCTTGACTTTCAAGTAAATAAATAAATCTTAAAAAAAAAAAAAACCTGCGCAGGGCCCCACACTGGCTCCTGGCTGCCCTGCCTTCTTGTCCTTGGGCTCCCACCCTCACCACTTGGCACCCTGTGTGCTCCTCAGTGCAGGGCCTGGCCATCTGACACCACAAGGCCCTGTGGCCACCACTGACAAGGAGACTGCTCAGTCCATGGCACAGCTCAGCGGCTTCTCCCCAAACCTCTCTTCCGGGGGGGGGGGGCGGCCACACTCCCTGACCGCACCACAACCAGTCCTGCCTGAGCTCCTGGCATTCACGCCCCGTCTCCTGAGGGTCCTTCTGTAGCTGCCACTCTGAGTAGCAGGGCAGCCGGCTCTCCTGCTGCCCCTGCTCTGCACGACCACGTGAAGGTCGTGCCCACTGTCAGCCCAGGCCCTTGGGCCTCTATGGTTTCCCCAAGGGCAGGGATCCCCCTCCTCTCCAGGCAACTCCCGCACCCGTATCCAGCAACTGGTGCTGGCGTCAAGTCACACTGGCTTCCCCGCGCTCTCTGCTTGGGTGCTTTAGACACTGCACACACACACGTGCATATTGCTCCCCGGGACTCATACAAGGGCTGCACCCCAGCCTGCCTTCCTCGGGCTCTGCGGCAGCTGGCGGGGAGGCTTTCCCAGGCGCTGCCTTTCCACAGCGCATTGCCAGTGCCTGTGTGCCTGTCGCTCCACAGCCAAGATCCTTCTCAGAGAAGTCACTCTCTGTCTGAACCCCTTCAGTCACGACAGGCAGTCCTCACGGGGAGAACCCTGGTACAAGGGAAGGCATGGGACGGGGGGCGGAACACAGCAAGTTCCCCAGCCACTTCCTACGGAAGAGAGATCCCGAGACCAGGAAACGAGTGTCTGGCACTGAGTAGAAGGCATGGCTGTGGGCTGTGTCCCTGGCCCCTCCCCCTCACAATCCCCCAAGCATGCAGCCACTGCGGAGCCCAGGTCCGCTCCCTGGGCCATACACACACGCGTGTCCCACACACGTAAGGGCTGGTGGCCCACCTGCTCCCGCCATTCACGGCAAAGGAACAAACTGTGTTCCATACTATCTCACGTGCAAACAAGTGTCCTTCCCTGAGGTCCGGGAGCTGGAAGGCAGAGCCTGGAGCAGGGGGAGGGTCCAGCATCCCCCTCCCCCGCCACGGGTGAAGCATTCTGGCCCTTTCCACCTTGGGACATCACTGCGCACTTGGAAGCTGGGATGGCTTGGAGACTGGAACACCTGCTGCCTGGCCTTTGCTTCTTGTAACAGCAAAATAGAAACCCCAAATGGTGGGGCGGGTGTTTGTGTCCACATCCCATACCAGAGCACTTGGGTTGGATACCCACCTCCACCTTCTGACTCCGGCATCCCGCCAGTGCACACCCTGGGAGGCACCCGTGATGCCTCAAACAGCTGGGTCCCTCCCACCCAGGTGGGAGACCTAGATTGCACATCCTAGTTTTTGCATAACCCAGCCCTGGCCACTGCAGGCATTTAGAGAGCATCCAGTGGATGCAAGCTCTCTTTCTGCCTCTCAAATAAATACATTAAAATAAACACTTAAATACAAAATAGGAAGAGATGCATCTAAAACCCCACCATCCCAATTCTTGAACTGTTTTCTTTTTTGCAAGTGCTTTCCAACAGTCCACCATGAGTGCCTCCCTCTACTGCCACCATTTCCCCCAGCTTTACTGAGCTGTAACTGACAAGTAAAAATTATTGGCACCCATACTCTTTTATCGACCACATAATAATCTAACTCTTCACTTGCATTCAACTGTCCTCTGCCTGAATTCATTTACATTCTTAGACACTTCCTTCACAAGCCCTCCGTCGGTGCACGGGATACATGCAGACCTCACAACAGAGGAAAGCTGTGCAGAAAACCCAGACCTGGGAGAGTGACCAGAGTTCTATAAGGGCTGGATCCCAGTCACCCCAACCCACTGCCATTATCCACTGATGGTGGACAAGTTTGCCCCATTAGCACTGAAGCCTCTCATGCTGCCCACTGGTGGAGCCCACTGACTCCTGCTCACCCTTGGTGGAGTGGAAAAGTCCTCTGATTCTGTCTGTGCCCAGGGTCCCAAGGGCCCTGCACCATTGCAGTGTGGGTAGCTGAGGACAGAGTTGGGGTCCTCCTTGTCTAGATCCTGCAGTTTCTGCAGCTCCAAACTGTAGGGAGCACATTTTTGGGGAAGGGGACTTAATCCATGGCTGGCATCTATTCAAAAGCCATTTCTGGACCCCCTTTTAAAATCGATTTTACCCTCAACAATGAAGGCTCTTAGGTTCTTGGAAGTGCTGCTTACACTGTTACATTGTGTTACACTGAGAATAAGCTGTGAGATAAAATAATGCCCAAGGTAATTCACAGAAATGGGAGCAGCAGAAACAAAATTCGTTAACGCTTTTATACAGGCCTAAGTGCATTCTCTCTGCAGGCTGTGTCCTTGTAAGATACCACTAAAAAGGAGGGAACACACTTGCCCGTCTGCGCCTCCATTACTTCGTCACACATGTACCGAATGCTCCCTTGCAGTGGATCTCAACCCTTGTGCGTGGCAACATGGAGACCATGGGTACACACCCAACAGGCACCAGTGCTGCCGGCTGCCGTGGGAAGGGGGTGGGATCCAGGCAGGGGCTCTGTCCAGTTCCCAGGTTCCATCTGTGATTCTAACCCCTGTTTTCACCCAGGAAAGCATTCTGGGATGCAAGTGAGTTAGGGGACCTTACTCCAAGGATCATTCTAAATGAACTCTAAGGCTTTATTTTTTTTTTAAGGTCCATTACTCTCAAATCCCTCATATTTTATCTAGTATTAGTACCAGTTCCTTGAGACACAGCAGGGACTGCTGCTCTGCTCCAGGAAACCTACAAGAAGGCTTTCACTCTTGGGGGTGAGGGGGGGCGTGTCTGAGTGCAGTGCTTTGCATGTACAAGGGGTCTTTAAAAAGTTGATGGGAATGTGTAACATGAAGAAATATATGCATGGATTTCAAAATTTTTTGTACCAAAAAAATATTAACTTCTGTTTCATATAAACATTTTGAAGTTCTCTTGAGTGATTTCCTATTTAGTTCTCTTCCTGGACCACAGATGGTAACAACTAAGAAAGGAAATGACTGAATATCTGATGACAACTTAACGTTACACTACAGATATAGATCAGTAGGGGTGGTGGGCTCTGAGGCTGGAACCTCCGGGGCTCTGCCAGTTCTCAGTCTGTGACCTTGGGCACTTGGTTTCATTTCTGCAAGCCTCAGTTTCCTTATTTGTAAAAGGAGGTT